GGGTCCGGGCTGGGGATTCGAACCCGCCACCTTAGGTGTACGTGGCTGGCGCCTTAGCCGGTTGAGCTATAGGCGCCGAGCCCATTTTCAATATTCTTTAGGCAAACTTAACAGCAAAGATGTGAAATCTTAAAGGCCATGTGTAGATTAGCTCAATATTGCTTACCTCTAATGACAAAAACTGTAAGATTGTTTCTTTGGGTAAATCCACCTGTTAATACAGAAATGTACATCATCAGAGAACTACATATTGACTATGATGGCGCTTTGGATGGGGCAATGTGAATAGGGTTGACAGAGTCTGGGATATTATTGTGACCCAGACTGAGTGAATAGTGCAATGATGTGATCTGAGCACTGGTAAACTAATAAGCAGTGGACACTATTCCCCATTGCTACATAGCACTCCCGAGCGTTTGACAGTACTACAGGTACTTAGTGTAGGTTTAGTAAGACAAAGGTCTGCAACATGTAGAAAAATGTTGATTTGTTTTCATTCCCCTCCTCCATATTTCAGAGAAAGAAACTAGAGAAAAAAAATAAACAGAAAACCTTCAATTTTCTCCCTAGTTCTTTAGAACCTCAAGCTCTGGGGTAGAGTGCTATGGCATCACAGCTCACAGCAACCTCCAACTCTTGGGCTTAGGCGATTCTCTTGCCTCAGTCTCCCACGTAGCTGGGACTACAGGCATCTGCCACAATGCCCAGCTATATTTTGGTTGCAGCCGTCATTGTTGTTGGTGGGCCCTGGCTGGATTCGAACCTGCCAGAGCTCAGGTGTATGTGGCTGGCGCCTTAGCTACTTAAGCCACAGGCGCTGAGCCAAGTATTTGTTCACTTATTTATTCTTTTTGTAGAGACAGGGTCTCACTCTGTCACTGCGAGAGTGGAGTGGTGCGATCGTAGCTCACTGCAGCCTTGAACTCCTGGGCTCTAGTGATCCTCCTGCCTTTGTCACCTGAATAGCTGGGATTATAGTTTCAAGCCTCTGTGCCTGGCTTGAAATTTTTAAGTCACTAGAAAGTGTGGGCTTCATGGCTCACACCTGTAATGCTAGCACTCTAGAAGGTTAAGGCAAGTGGATTGTCTGAGTTCAGGAGTTTGGGACCAGCCTGAACAAGAGTGAGACCCCATCTTTACTACAAATAGATAAACTAGCTGGGTGTGTGGTGGGCACCTGTAGTCCCAGCTATTTGGGAGGCTGAGGCAAGAGGATGGCTTAAGCCCAGAAGTTGGAGGTTGCTGTGAGCTGTGATTCCATGACACTCTCCCTGGGCAACAAAGTGAGACTCTGTCCCCTAAAAAAAGTCACTAGAAAGGTATGAGTCCTTCAACATGGGATTTAGGCATATATACCTCACATAAGAGGAACAATACCACTTTTATTAAATCCAAAAGATAAATTTGTAATATACATG